GGTGTTGTTGTCGCATTGTCAATGCTCTCCTTTGGACTGTTGCCACTGCTGGCCTGTCGGAGTTGCGTGTTTTCCTTCTCTAGCGTCTGTATGCGATCGCGCGTTGTCTTTAATTCTTGCTGCAAAAACAATATAGTGCTTTGCATGCCCTCCACATCCTCATCGATCTCCTGCAGAAAGTCATCGAGCTCTGTGAACAAAAACACATATTCATCTATCTATATATCGCTGTTCAATGGATTATAATACCTGACTGAGATTTCTTGACCTCCTCGCTAAAGCTTTTTTGCATTGCCAATTCAGTCTCTAGCTTTGCTAGTCGCCCATTGGATGTCATCTTGCCCAGCTCTTCGTTTTCCTGATACAATAGACGGCACTTGGCCATGAGGCGTTTTCCCGTATTTGAGTCCGGCGTAAATTTCCAGGCGGAAAGTTCATTTTGCGTCTCCTCCAGCTTAGCCTTGGTGGCCTTTAGCTCCTTTTTGAGACGCTCAAAGAGCAAATTTACAGCCGGATCGAGAAGAGCCGTGCGCAAGGCTAAGGCTGTGGGCGCCTGCTGTGCCTTGTACTCCGCAATTTGACTCTGTGTTGGAGTGTAAAAGTGTATATATGAATACACCTAGTGCCATTGTCAGATGTACTCAAAAATTACCACATAATCCTGAAACTCTTGCTCCTTGTTGGCCAGACGCCGCATAAGAATCTTTTCGCGTCGCTGTGCGTCCGCGCATTGCAGTCCCAGACGCGTCTGCTCCAACTTGAGGCTCTCGATTTCATCTGAAGGGACGGGCGCACGAATTAGAGAGTAAAACAAAACAGAGATAGTGTTAGTAAACGTCGCAGCACCCAGGACACAGGGCTGTAGTCAACAATCGATCGAGTAGAATAAAAAGCAGCAAACAGCAAACGCAATGGTCAGCGGGCGGCAAGGCAGACATCAGCAGATGCTTCCCCACCGCCACGATACAAATTTACAAGTTCTTTAAGGGCAATATATATAGTACTTGGTTGCACAACCTGGTGTGTTGTGAATACTGGTTGTAGTTTGTAGGTAGATACATATTTTATTTTTTTTTTTTGAAAGAATTTTGATATATTTTTTTTGTAATTGAACTTAATACGAAATCATACCAATGCGTTGCAATCATTCGTGTAAGTTCGTGACATTATTTTGCGCTGTTGTTGCGGCTGTTGTTGTTGCGCTCTCGCTGTTGTTGTTGTAGCTGCTGTTGTTGTCGTAGTTGCTGCTGCTGCTACCGCTGCTGTCGTCGGATTTGGTTGTTGCCACGAACGTTGCACTTGCACACGTTATTTCTTGCACTAATTTTTGCTTCGAGATTGCGAGGCTCATGAGATTTGCCTCAACATTTACTCAACACTTGCTTGCACTTTTATATTGCTTGCTTAATTTAACATTTGCATTTGCGTTTGCATTTGCATTTGCATTTGCATTTGATTTTGCTTTTGCTTATTGCTTGCTTTATAGAGAAGACACACTGTGGAAACAACAAACGTTTTGAAAATTTTGTTGCAAAACTGAAAAATATTTAGAAAAACACTTGCAAAAAACTCGACGCGCGCACTTTGCTTTCAAAAAGCTCATACAAACATCAACATCAACATTATTTTCTGGCATTTTCGAACACTCTTTTTTCTCTCGTTAGCTCAGAAGCTCTCATAACAAAGTTCAACGACTTTCATTTCATTTCATATTTTTCTTGTGCAAACTCACAAGTTATTATTTATATGCATTTATTTCTTATATTTATTTTATATACATATATATGTACATATATATATCTACGTTTTGCTATTTAGCTGCGGTAATTATGTTTTATTTTCTTGTTATTTCTGCGTACGCAAACAAGCCGAGCGCCGTTATAACGTGTGCGTGTGAGTGTGAGCGTGTGTAAATCCATTTGTTTGTGGTGTGCGAGCTTGCGTTTGTGTGTGTTGTCTTTATGTTTGAGTTAATTCACAAACGCAAACAACACTTTGGCCTATATGCTAATCAGGGATGGAGCTCTTAATGAATTACCCAGCACTGTTTGTTTGTTTTTTTTTTTTTTTAATTTATTTAAAGCCCTTTGATTAAATATTTCCATTCAAGAATATACTGTACATGGACATGACTCATCTTTTAAGAAAATCGAATTTTCAATCTGATTTGCAATTTATCCCAAATGTTTATCCAGCCCTGGCATATAAGCCATTAAATAACAAGCGACAATTAAACAATTAACTACATTAACGCAGACGCCTGTCTGGGCAAACCGATTTTTAATGCCCTTCTTGGCCTACAATAAATTTGATTTGACATATGCATTATCTTATCTCTCGCTGGAAAAATCAACAAAAAGACGCACACACACGCACTCACGAACACACGATAATTTAGCCCGCGCTTTGTTGCGTTCTTTATTTATTTATTTGTACGTATTCAATTTGTTTTATGACATTTTGTATCGATTTATTGTGTTATTTATTTATATATATTTAATTGATTTTGTGGAATTTTGTGTAGATTTATTGTGTTATTTATTTATTTAATTTTGTGAATTTTTGTATTGGCTTTTTCAGTTCATTTTGGGCCATGATTTGCATTACATTCTTAACACTGGCAAAGTTCTTGGCTTAATAACACAAAAACTGAAGAGAAACATTTTTTTTAAATTTTTATATTTTAGAATATATATGTTTTATATACATTATATACCATTTTATGCACTCTTTCTTCATCTGATTTATTTTTTTCATGTTTTATTTATTTTGTGATTTATATATTTTGTTTGCGTGGAGAATTCAAGCCGTGTAAACAGTGTTGGAGCATGACGAAACAGAATGTATGGGGAGGGGCATTGAGAGGCAGTGGGAATGAAATAGGGAGAGACATAGAGAAAGAGAGAGAGAGAGAGAAGGTGAGTAAGGCAAGAAGAGGGCACGCGCGCGCAGGGGCACGTAGACAAGACGACAACGTGAGCAACGTTGGCAACGAAATTGGCCAAAAACGAAAACTGTACACACGGCAGAAACTCTTGAGACGACGACGACGAGGGCGAGGGCGAAGACGTAGACGAAGTAGAGAAATTTGATCAACTTTTGGCATTTTGTACACTTGTTACACACAATTTTGCTTAAATACTGTTCATATTTGTTATAATGCATTTACATAATGCACACATATATTTTGCTATCTTTTTCAACTGTTCTTTGCACACAACACTTTGCAACACTTTTTTTGATTAATGCATTGATTTGCTATGATTGCTTTATATTATTTAGATTAATTAGTTCGATTTGCACACACTGGTTAAACACTTGCTGTTTCTTTTGATTTTAACAACAAACAAAATAACTTATTAACTAAACAAAACGCTGAAAGTCTTCAAAGAGTGTTCGCTTCAATTATCAAAAGTTCGATTTTGTATAAACCAAAAAACAAGGCACACGTGGAGTTCTTTTTTGTTTTAGTGTTTTTCATATAAAACGCATTTTTGCACAAAAAAACTCAAACTTAGGCCGTGGAAATGCCTTACAAAAATGCAACAACCTCTCATCAAATGTTTAAGGTGCGCGAAATAACAAAATATATTTTATTTACGCACCTTAAACACAACATTTGCAAATTGAACATTTTGAAAAAAAATAGGAAACTAAACAAATTATACAATTTACACAAATGTACACTGTTTGTTGTTGTTTGTTTTCTTGTTTTCGTTTACATACGAGACATATATATAAATATATATCATTTGATATATATCTATATATTTATATATATATATATATATATTATACGGCATGTATATATAATATGCTTACAATTTGTTTTGCATATTTATGCGTAAATAATAATTTAATACCTTCGAGCAAACGACGCTGTTCTGCTGCGGCGGCAGCTTCGGCAACAGCGGCATCATGTTGTTGTTGTTGCTGCTGCGGTTGTTGTTGTTGTTGTTGTTGTTGCTGTTGTTCTGGTTGTGGGTGATGGTGGTGTCGATGCTGCTGTTGTTGCTGCTGTTGCTGTAGCTGTTGCTCCTGTGTTTGCTGCGCTTGCGTTGACGTCGGATGATGATGATGATGATGGTGATGATGATGATGCGGCTGCTGCTGTTGCTGCTGCTGCTGCTGCTGTTGTGACGTTGGCAGCTCTTCGAAGCCAGACGGCGTCGGCGATGCCGGGCCAGACGGGCCCATATTATTAACTGCGCCAACACCAGCGCTACCCCCACCAACACCACCAGCAGCCACGCCGCCGGTGCCGCTATTGCTGTTGCTGTTACTGTTGCTGTTGCTGTTGCTATTGCTGCTATTGTTGCTGATCATGTGCAAATTTTGATCATATTTTGTAGACATTTTATCGTAACTGTTCATCAAGGGTCTCTGATCGTCCATAGTCATTGCAGCGACACTCATAACTCAATACAAAGCTCTAGTTGGTCCTTTGCTTTCCTCGATTTTCATATGGCTTGTACACACTGGAACCAAACACACAAAAAACTCGCAGCTCGCGATGCTCACTGCCAGCGGAGCACCTTTTTCGCTCTCGCACACGCACGCTCTATATGTGTGCGGGCCTGCCTGCTCACCAATACCAATGCTAAACTATGCTGTAGACGACGCGAGGCAAGCGAAAATTTTTTTTTGTATTTTCGTTGCTACTTTTCAGTTGCAAAATTTGCGTACTTTTTGCGTATTTTCAGCGTTGAATTATTGATTACTTGCTATATTGTTCATTTATGCGCACTTTATCAATATTTTTATGTGGTTTAAATCACTTTTATTACGTTTATTTAATAAATTCTCTTGGAGCCGTCGATATCATTAGTTAGCTAAAAACGTTTGGTCGGCGTTGCCATATGGTCGTCAAGTCAAATTCAATATGGTGGACCAGCACGCGATATAATACCAAAACGAAATGGTCACCCCAATCCAAGAATAACCGCAGCTGGTCACCCATCTTAGCTCGAATTGTTTACGTTTCTTCAAGAAGAAGACAGTTTCTGGTAGCCCTGGTTTATTTTGCAAATTACATAAAAGTCTGCGGCCAACGACAAAATGTTGCGACAAATTGCTGGACCAACGTTTGCCAAGTTGCTGCGTGCAACAACCAGCCCAGCGAATGCGTCAGCTACCCAAGCTGCATTCGGCGGCTCATTCGGCACCGTCCTGGCACGCCAGCAGCAGACCATGCCTGTTGTCGACTCTGGCAATACCCTGCCGAAGAAGGGCTACTCGCCTTTTGGCACCAAGCAGGCCAGTATGGCCGAGTGGTCGGTGGCGAGATTAGACGATCTGCTTAATTGGGGTCGCAAAGGTTCCATCTGGCCGCTTACCTTCGGCCTGGCTTGTTGCGCCGTGGAAATGATGCACATTGCAGCCCCACGGTAAATGTTATTCCAACGGCTTACACATCTATAAACATCATTATCCATTCCAGATATGATATGGATCGATACGGCGTTGTGTTCCGTGCATCCCCACGTCAAGCTGACGTTATTATCGTAGCTGGCACGCTGACAAATAAAATGGCACCAGCTCTGCGCAAAGTCTACGACCAAATGCCCGAACCCCGCTGGGTCATCTCAATGGGCAGCTGTGCCAACGGCGGTGGCTACTACCACTACTCGTACTCGGTTGTGCGAGGCTGCGATCGTATAATACCTGTCGATATCTATGTGCCTGGCTGCCCTCCCACTGCGGAGGCGCTTTTGTACGGCGTCCTGCAGCTGCAAAAGAAGGTGAAGCGCATGAGGACGTTGCAGATGTGGTACAGAAAGTAAAGAGATAGTCTCCAGTTAAATAAGCAAGAAGTGTTAAATAAATATTGTATGCAAATATAGGCAATAGCAACAACGTTTTTCTAGCATTTGTATTCTATTTAGTTCTTTTCTATAAAAATGCTATTGTATTTCTTATTGCAATGTACAAATTGTTTAAAATATCGTATAGCTTTTCTGACGTCAGCGGCAGTGAAATACTACCTGTTACAAAAGCGTACCAAAACCATGTCGAGCGTTGCCAGATCGATTTTTTTTTAATAATAAACAAATACAGCTGTGCGATGGCCGATTTCCCCGAAAATCTACAAGTAATTAAATTGGAACCACCAGGAACGCCGGAAAAGTCGAACATCAAGGAGCGCCTAAATCTGCACGTAAAGCGACGCTTGCAACAGGATCTGCCCGTTTCCAGCCCAGAAACACCACCTGGGGACACAGTTGCAGCCACTTCTAGCAAACGCTGCAAAGCAACTCCAGCACAGTCCAAAGAAGGGCAAAAGCAACGCAAGCCCTATCAAAAGCGTGTGGAAAAGATCAAAACAGAGACGAGCAAATGCAAAAAAGGTAATCTGATATATTTAACTAGGAAATCGCATATGACCAACAAAAATTGCAGCACAAAATGCCAGCCCTGCAGCGGATTTGGAGTCATTCGACGAGGCAGCAGATCATGAGGCATCGCCAGAAAGATCGGACGCCAAAAACATGGGCCGTGATCGCTACAAGAGTGCTGATATACTCAACATAGTATTGAGTGCAAAGAAACGGGCGCTAATGCAAAATGCGGAGGTGCAATCATTTTGGTCGAAAATTATGACAGCCCTGAAGAACTGAATTTATTTTTCATCGATGGGGCAACACTGGTGCGTATATGGCGCGCATTGATACGATTTTCATAAAATTCAAATAACAAAACGAGTTACTTTAAGGTTGTAGCTTAAGTGTTGTTAATTATTCGATTTTAATAAATAAAATAATTTAGTTTTTTTTTTAGTATTACATTGAACACACTAGCTAAATACACTAAATACTGCGCACGCTCTGGGAGCGCCCAGTCGCTGCTGCGGCTGCAGCGGCTGCTTCCGCCGCCGACGGCTGACAGCTGCAAAATTTTGCAGAGCCGCTCAGAAAGCAATTTGACGTTTTTGGGGTTGCAACGTTTTGCGTCGCGTAATCGCAGTGATTTAGCGTCTCCGAATCGAAAAGAATACCACAAATTGATAACGAGTTCAAAGTGTGTTCGAGCAAAGGTAGTTGCAGTGTGTAACTAAATATTTGGCGTGTCAAACTAAAGCCTTGAGCGTAATATACAATTAACAATAATTGGCAATTAAGCCGTGTTAGATAATCCCGTTTGGGGTTTGTGTGGCGCGTTTGTTATCGATTTAACTATTCTTTTTTTTTTTTTTTTTTTTTTTTTTTGCCTTTTGTACTTCTCCCGTGTCCTTTTAGGGCGCGCATTCTCACGCTCACACTCTCTGCCGCCTGCTGCTGTATTTTTCGTTTTGTCGCCACCCTTGCGCGACTCTTGTGCTCTGCCTCTCTTGCTGTGCGCTTTGGCATGCTGCTTCGTCCTTGCCTTGTCCACAAATTTGCGCTCAAATCGACCGCCCGCCCGCCCACCAGCCACCCACTGAGCCCTTTTCGGCTGCTTTTCACTTTCGTGCGCTTCCATTTCCATTTGGCATCAGCTACAATAGGCCATTCCTGTTCAACGGCTCTTGCAACGGCGCCAACTTGCCACAGTCATCAAATATTTTCTCAATGTGCTCGCCTCTTACGTAAATAAAAAAAAAACAGACACACACATATATATATATATATATATAGATATAATACTTAAAGCGCAGCCAATTTGAAAATAAATTCCAGTTAAGAGCTGGCATTATATAATATTGTGCCAAAAGTCCTGCGAGACGAAAAGTGACGCGAAAGAACAAAAGTGCAAAAAGTGATTACAAAACACTTTCAAATTTTCAGTGCACGTCAAATCCATTAAAAACTTTTACAACAAATGGCCCAAATAGGCATAATCAAAGAGCAAAACAATTATATAAAAAATAAAATATATGTGACTAAATGTTAATTGAAAAGAATGAAAATGTGTCCAAGAAATCAACAAATACCTATAATATATACAAGAGCCTAATCCAAATCTTAACCAAATTAATAATATTCAATATCAGAAGCTTTCAAGTATTTGCATCAACTGAAATTATAAATTGACACGAATATATTATGGTTTTTTTTTTTACGTTTTGCATTATACAACTAGTTTAACTGTCTGGCTGCCCCACCTGCCCCACCTGTCCCAGCTGCCCCACCTGCCCCAAAGAAGAACAACAACTATTGCGTCTATTAACTGGCACCTTTTTGCAAGGCTTTGGCTACCTTTACTCATACTGCACTTTCTTTTTAATGGCTAAATCAATAACCAGAGTAAAAAAAGAACAGAGCAAAAAAAAGAAAGGCAAAAGAAAAAGTATTCTCTTTGGCCCTTTTGCTAATTGTATGACTATTACTATTACATAAGCGACAGCTTTTCCCCCCCCCCCTTCCAAGCGGGGAAAAGCAGCCGAAACATTTCCTTGCAGGAAATGCCAAAAGTCTGAGGAACGGAGACACATGCCAAGCCAGCACATATATGGGATAACTGGGAACAGAACTAGGTCAGTTATTGAATTTTCCCGGTCGCCGCGTAACGCCCACCGCCCACGCAGAGTGTTGCACGTACTGCTGCAACATAAATATATAACAATATTTGTGATAGATAATGGCAAGAAGACATACTGCCGCTTGGCTGGCAACAGGACGAGTCAATTCTGTGATTGACTGCTCGACATTCGAAGCATGTCAGCGAGCCATTAAGACGACAACAACAATGCTGGGGCACAACAACAATTGGCTGTCAGACATGACAACGGCCCCGTGGGCTATCCTATTGATTGCCTCGGGCCAGAACGTTGCGACCAGCAGCGGTGCCTTCTGTGCCAGAGACCCAAATTTTAACTGAGCCGCAAACGAGGCGTATGCGTAATATTTGCCATTTAGTCATGCTCCGATGATATCTGCCTCTGCAGTGTGTCCGTGTGTGTGTGTGTGTGTGTGTGTGTGTGTGTGTGTGTCTGTGTGTGTGTGTGTGTGTGTGTGTGTCTGTGTGAGTGTGTGTGTGCCAGAATGGTGCCTACTATGGCTGCCTTCGGTGCATTGCACTTTCCTGATTACGTATACGACTTGTGCCACTGTTGGGGGCTTACACGGGCAGACTCCTCCTACCATCTGTGGTCCGCTGGCGCTGTCAGCCGCAGTTGGAAGCCGCACACTTCAAGCTGTGCTATGATCATTTAGGGGCAATCATGTGATTACTGCTGAGTGTCCTTTTCACATTTATTATTCAAGTGGCACGTGCACCTGCTTTTAGTTGTCTTTTTTTTGGCTTGTTCATCATCTACAAGAACGTCTCATAAATTAAAAAAATAATTTGAATATTATTGTCTGCTTTTGGAACACATTAAAAAGTTACCAGTTTTTAGCATTGCCACTTAATTTTTATATATATTTTTTTAAATTTATTTCCATTTAAGAAACCATAAAAATGTTTTAGCATAAAATGTATCTAATGGCATTATCGTAATCCAAAACAAGTCCTTTTGGGTAAACTAAGCGACCCATCAACATGGAATGCTCTGCCACTTTAACCCCTTCCCCCCGCACCGCCCATCTTCCTATTAGCACACCTGGCCTAGTTGTTGGTGTGGGATGTTACCAAAGCCCCATTATATATGGTGGGTTTAGTTGGCAACAATTGCACACGGGGAAAATCAATTGCAAGCCAGTGCCAGCCTATGCTGGGTGGATGACACATAGGAAACATAAAAGCAGCAGCAGCAACAACAACAACAACAACAACAGCAACAGCGAGAAGAGCAGCAATCATTGCAATCCAATTAAATGGCCGCTTGACTGCTGCTTGTCGCCGAGTCGAAGTGAGCATTGAGTGAGAATTGCCTGATTTGCACTCAGTTTTAGATTCCACAAACTTGTGTTCCACTAATTGGGTCGTGTGCACGTCATCAAAGCTGCAGCGTCTCAGCTCACTCTTACTCTCAATTGGAGCAGCATCGCACGCGCTCTCTCTCTCTCTCTCGCGCTCTTTGTTGCGCTGCATTGCGCCGCTGCGCTCACCAAATGCCCTGCAATGCAACTCTATCCTCCCCTCGCCGCCCCCGCCCGCAGCTTACTGTAACAGTTTTGCCTATTTTTGAAAAAAATGCGGCCCACTTTTGCGTTTGCTGTTTTTCCTTTCCACACACAGTTCTATTTATTTTTGTCAACTGATTTTCGTTGAGCCGAAAGGTTGAGTATTAAGTTTATTCAGTTTAAAGTGTTGAGCAAAGTTATTATATTATTAAATATTGCAAAATGAAAAGTGCTAACACCAAATTATGCAAAAACAAAAGAAAAGAAAGTTTTCAACTAAAATTAAACAAGTAAAAAGCATAGAAAATACCAATTCAAATGAAATATAAACATAAATTATTTCAAACAATAAATACATCATGAAAAAATGGTTTTACAAACAAGTTAAAGTTATCTCATTTTCTTTTAACATATTTTAGCTAACATGATAATTTAACTCAGCTAAAAGCAGAAGAAGAAACATTGAGTGTATTTCGGTGAGAGCTGAATACAAAACAAATTTGCGACACAAGTGCAAAGTACACAAAACAACAACAACAACAACAACAACAAAAACAGCAAAAACAACAGTTGCAGAAATGTCGCCTTTTATGGAAAAAACGTTGCTGTTGTTAGGCGTGCTGTGTTGCATACAAGGTAAGCGCTCAGGTTTATGCAATGCAAAAATAAAGCCAAAGCTCCTCACACACACACACACACACACACATATGCACACACAAACAGCCCTCCCACACCGTCTGTCCCCCCCTCCCGTTTGCTCGCATTGTTAGACAACATTTGCGAGTGGCTTTGCACACATCTAATGCAATTTGATATGATTATGTATGGATTTGTGTTGAGGTCTCTTCTTCTCTTCTCTTCTTCTTCTTCTTCTTCTTGTTCTTCCACTTCTTGCCACTTACAGTTACCACTGCCCTTATGTGCTACGACTGCAACAGCGAGTACGATCCACGTTGCGGTGATCCCTTCGAGCCCTACTCCATCGGCGAGGTCAACTGCAGCAAACAGGAGCCTCTGGAGCATCTCAAGGACAAGTACAAGCCCATGCTGTGCCGCAAGACTGTTCAGAAAAGTAAGTTTCAACAATGGGTACAAAAATTATAAAGTACAAATATGTCAGAAAAAGGTTCGATATATTTTAAGTAATTTTAAATAATGATATTTTAAAGTATCGAATATAATAAGTATAGTTAAAACTTTTAGCTATTGCGTTAACAAAAAAAATAAATTTCTACAATCAAAAATAAGTTTAAAAATATTGGGGAAAATATATCGAAAATATTAAAAACGGAAATAACAATTTCTTCATTTGAAAATAAATTTTAAACTGAAAATTATAAATTAAAATTAATGGGGAAAATAGATCCAGAATCATTATTGAAAAATAGAAAACAATTATTTATTGGAAAAATCAGATACACGCTTTTTCTTTTCTAAAATCTTTATCCAAGGAATATAAAAAATATAGCTGTTTTTTTTTTATATATAAATAGCTAAAATCGAAAAACTCCAGTATTGGGATTTTTTCCAATTAAATGCTTACTGGAGGGTAAATCCTCCCATATAGCTCGAAGAATATGTTTATTTAATAAATTTTTAGTAGTTAAAATTCAAATGATAAATGACCAAAATCTTAGAATTTTCCACGGAAAACTTTAGGATTGTGCTGTTTCCCAATTGAGTTCCTACAGGGGGATAAAAATGCCATTATTAAAACTCGAAGGAAAAATGTAAATGTATGTAACAGGCAGAAGGAAGCATCTCCGACCCCATAAAGTATATATATTCTTGATCAGCATCAATAGCCGAGCCGAGTCCGTCTGTCTGTCCGTCCGTCTGTCCGTTCGTCAGTCTGTCCGTCTGTCCGTCTGTCCGTATGTATGAACGCAAGGATCTCAGAGCCTATAAGAACTAGAGACCTGAAATCTGAGATCGAGATCCGCAGATCCGATAATCGATAACTTGCCCCGTTTCCAAGAAATCGATAAAAATCTATATCGAAATCCAGTTTTTGTAAATAATAAGAGCTAAAGTAAGCAAATTTGACATATAGTTTCTAGAATAGTATATACACTTGCATTTGGTGTTGGAAGAAGAGGGTTCAGGGTATCCCCCACTCGGGAGCTTCCGACCAGAACCTCTTACTTGTTTTTATTTAGCACAAATTCCAAATTAAACGAGATGCTAATAAAATTGTATTTCAGTTTACGGAAAGGTGCGCGTTGTGCGCGGCTGTGGTTATATACCCGACGAACGCACCGATAAGGAGTGCATAAGGCGTTTGGGCACACACGATGTCTCCGCCACCTACTGCGCCTGCACCCAGGAGCTGTGCAATGGGGCCAATGCCGTTGGCATATCGCAGATGGCGCTGCTGTTCGGATTGGCCGCCGGATTCGCGCTCTTCTTGACAAGACACAGCATAAGAGTGCAGAGCTCATAAATATCCATTTATTTTCCAATTTTCCAATAACAATTTGTGTTTCAATATTATTTGGTCTAATTTCAAATTGAGTTTTTGATAAAAATTCAGTTTTTAGCCACCTCGTTGGCCAGTTAATTAAGTTGCATAATTTAATTTAATTATACATGTGTTCGTAAGCGTAAAAAATGAGAGATTACCATAACAAAAAAAAAAATAAACATATAAACTAAACTCTGTACTTAATTTGTTGGGCTCATAAAAAATGCAAGAGTACCTTTAATGTAAATGTAAAATGAAACAAAATAAAATGCATAAACTCTATTTGGGCGGTCAAATCTATTGAATTGTTTTATTCATTAAGCTCATTTTAATTTTATATTAATTTTAATAAATGTACTTATATCCAAACAAAAAACAGAAATAAACAAAAAACTGCCAGTAAATGTCTCCGCCTAATACACAGAAAAAAATGCATGCCCAACTTTAAAGCCCAAAAACAAGCTTAACTAAATAAATTTTAGTTTCTCAAATGTATTGCAAATGTCTGTTCGGTATTTTGAAACTTCGAAATCTTTTCAAACCTTGATTTCCTTAGCACGAGAAGCTATTAGAAAGTTCAAAGCATTTCAACTATTAAGACGCGATATTTACATGCAGCAAAGAGCCCTAAAAGGTAAATTTTAACAACAAACTCTTCACATGATATCGAAAAAAAAAAAAAACAAACAAACAATAAATTAAATAATAATCACAATTCAATGAGTACATTAATAGAGTATAGTATTTGAAGTAACTAGGACACCAGATCATTTGACAAACAAATTATGAGTCATTGCAGAGTAAAAGAAATAGAATAAAAACTTAAATTTCAACTAAATGCAGATAACATAGCAAAACAAACTATTTACAAAACCAACAAGAACATTCAAGAATAAATAAGAAACTATGAAAATGTCACATTTTGTCCATTTTAAGCTTCATACAAAAAAGAAATTATATAAAAATAGACAAATAAATAAATCAAATATATAATACAAATCTTCCTAAAAACAAAAAAAAACAAAAACAAAGTAAAGAAAATGTCAAATGAAAATTTTGTCGTGTAGTTAATTATTATTTTCTATTTTTTCGACAAGCATAAATTCTTAATAAACAATTTTCAAGTGCTTTATTTGACAAATTGATAGGCACAAATTTAAAAAATATATATAAATTTATAAAGACACGGCTAATAGGCAAAGTACAGTCCACACAAAACAACAAACACTAGCCAACACACAACACAAAACCAAATACATTTCAATACCTGATTTGGTGTAGACCTCACAGATACATACAACATAGATACATACAACAATTGATTAACTCGTACATGATTATACTTATACACACAAACACACACACACACACACACACACATATTCTATTGAATGATCTTTATTTAGTTAAATATTATTAAGAATTATATGGACAGCTAAAAACAACATTGTGAGCATATGTAGATAAATTGAACTAATTTTAATTTACATGCAAGAAAAAAAATATATATAAAAATGTGCATAAAAACAACAACATAACACTAGCCGTTGTATCGTAATAAATATACATATATGAGAAACACATTTTGTGCATATTTAAGAAATTATAAATATATATTTAATTGCAGTATATTTAGTTGAAAGAGCATACACTTTTTAAAGAAAGATATAGGCAAAGAAAGTTACAAAAGTTTATTTTATACAATAGAAAGTGAGAGTAAGCCCATGCCATACACATACTTCACACAGCACACGCAAAAATAATATAAAAAAAAAAAAGAAAAACAAATAATAATAATAATATAAATGGCAGCGTGAATCATATCATTGTATTTTGCTTTACGAGTGACCATATTCTAAAGTAAAACCGAAAAGAAATCCACAATATAAATGTTTATAACACAATGCTAACCACAATACAAACAAGCAGCTCAGAATGCTAAAATTTAATAAATAAAACACGCTAAGAAAACAAAAAAAGATAAAAGTAAAAACAAAGTTTGATTCATCTTCAGCATCTACTGAGAAAGGAAACCCCTATAATAAATACACGCATATTAGTCCTAAACCCAAAAACGTTTCGATAAATAAAAGAACTCACAGATTTGACACACAACACGAAACGAATGAAGAACACACACACACACACACACACTCACACAGTTGCATACCTAATAAAAATAATAATAATAATAATAAAATAAACAATAATAATAAACTTATATGTGTTTCGTCTGCGCTGGCTGAATCGTCAAATGAATAATAATAATTTACATTTGGTTTATGAGTTTCTAAGCAAACCCAAGAAATATATATATATGCAACAATGAAGTAAAACAAACAAAACAAACAAAAATTGAAAGAAAAACAAAAACCAAACAATTTACAAAAAATTATGTGAACTTGTTAATTTTTAGCGTTTAAGTCTGTAAAGCTCCGCTTGTAGATGAAAAATCAATAAATAAACTAAATACAAAATTGAATAAAACGATAAAAAACAAAAACAAAAACAAAAAACAAAACAAAAAAAATACAAAATCAAAAAGTTATAAACTTTCACAAAACAACAAAAAAAAAAACATGTTGCTCTTTTATCGATTTATGCAGCACGCTCAACAAGATATATGCGTAATTAATTGATTTAAGGGGATTTTTACCATAATTCGAACACGAATTAAATTTTGATTTTGCTTTTATTTTAAAAAGAGATTTTTGTAGATAGCGAGAGAGAGAGAGAGAGAGGCATCTTACGACATCTTAATTAGCACATTTGCATTCAATTTAAATACTTTTTCCTGTATCCGCAAGACCTTGTAGCACCTTGTAGACCTTACAAAGCCTAGGCTTTATACAAATTTTAGTAGTAAGCTAGTTAACTAGGTAAAGATAGCACTAAATCTTAATTAGCAGCGTGACTGAACTCTCTCCCGAGTCTCTGAGGAAATCAACATATCGAAACATGCAACGCAGCAAATTTATTTATTAATTATTGATTATTATTTAATGAATAAGCAATAAAAATAAAAATAAAAAAAAAGTATAATATATATATATGTATATTCTTATCAGCAGTAACAGACGGCTTGATATTGCTTATCCGTCCGTGCATCCATCTGTCCGTCCGTCTGTCTGTTTCTACGCCAATTAGACCCTCATCTTTAAAGCCATCGCCTTGAAACTTTGCATAGAGCCGTCTTTCTGTTTCAGACAGTTCGCATTTAAAAACATTTCTTCTTTTTGCCCTTAAACTGGGAACCCAATCTTCGATTACCACCGTATTCCAGCAGGCTTCTTCTAGTTAATCTTCCCTCTTTTCCCAAGTGTGGCACAATCCTCGCGGTGGTTATTATTGGAAGAATTGATTATCATTTTGTGTTATATTAAAAATAATTGTATTCTGATAAGGCTTTTAGTTTTTAATTTTAATATATGCTCGCTTTGTTGAACATTCACACAAAAATAAACTTCGTAACCATAGCTGCCTTATGAAAGGTCGGTGGATTATTAATTTCTTGTATGAAAAACTTTCTTGTTTATTAATATGTCCTAACCAAACTTATTATTTCTATTAATAAATAGAAGTCCAATATTAATTGGACTGCTATACTATATGACACAATAGAAAGAAAGGTCGATATTAGTTTTTGTATGGCAAAAAAACTATTTTCCAAAATATTTTCATCAAATATTCGGCCTACCGCAGATATCCTTACTCTTTTGTCTACAAGATTGATCAAGATTTAAGAGAAATCCACAGTTTAAACGAACGCAGACATTAATGTAACAACGATATATATATAATTTATTAGATATCTGTAGATATGGAAATAGGTAAAACATATGTTAGTTATGATAGACATATATTATGATATATATCAATATACTCGCAGTATATAATTTATGGCGTTGTCGACGTGCTTGCGCCCAAGCTGTTGGGGAAAACGGCTCGGTTGGCAATGGGCTGGGTGGAGCTGCGCACGATTTTGATAAAGCCCTGCTCGCCCCATTCGGTGCCAAAGGAGTTCAGGCAGAGCCAATAGTCCAGATTGCTATCCGTGTCGTGGCCATAGCCGACTACCACCAGGAACTGAGAGCTGCTGGCTTTGGCCCGCACTGGCGGCACATAGACACCGCTGCTGTAGTGCATGAAGCCAAAGGTCGCGGGATTGTATTCCACAATCACTGGAATTTGGCTGGCTACGTAGCGCATAAGCAAATCATCGTCGCAATCTTCTATGGTGCCATAGGAGTCCAGTTTGATGCTGCTCGTTGCCAACTTGGGCACGCACATGCCCTGATGATTCAGCGAATTGTTAGCTGCATATTCATCCTCGTTCAGCAAAACAGCGTCTGTCTGGGTCAGATAGTCGAAGGCCGTTTGTGGCACCTGCGTGGTGCAGCCAGTGCCCATGCCAGCACAATCGATCAGTGCCTGGGCGGAGTTGTTCAACGGCAGCACTTCTATAGTCTGTACGGCATTCAGTATTTGAATGGACGTGGCCGCCGCATAGGCCCAGCTGCTGCTGCAGACGGTGCCCTGATCCCGTGCCGTCACATTGATCCCAAGTTCGGCTAGTATGTCATACTGGGGCGGGGCTATCTCGTTTGGTGGCACGGGCGTTGAATTGCCAAAAGTCGTCGGATAGACAGCCTGCGGCAAACGTGCCGCAAATGTTATCAATCGTATATCAGAGAATTGATTCACCTTCACGCGGTAGCTGCTGGCGTTACGATCCGCCAGCGCATTATGCGAAGCTATTTGGTTGCTGTGGTAGTTGAAATAATAGTTGGCAGTGTTTCTCTCCGCTGCGGTGCTATAGGTCTTATTAAATTTGTCCTAAAATATATATTTGAAGTTTATTGATAGGTTATTCTGAATTATTAGTCTTAGTGGGAGAGATGGGAGAGATAACCCATCTACCAAGCATAACTTTACTTAGTTGTATTTAGAATGAAGGACTTTTCTCATTTTAAGGTAATTTGTCACTTTTCTTGCAAAAGGCTTCATACATATATTTATTTCGAGAGAAAGTGTAAATTACTTGTTTTAGGAAAACTCTTTTTTATTTTTTTGAAAAAGCTAATGTCCTCTTTTGCTTGCTGGCAAAATCGGTATGGCATTACACTCTGATAATAAAATGAAGTTTGTATTCAAATTATGTGTACTTAGATAAGATAGTAAATTATATAAAAATATATTATTCTAGAAGCTAAATGTTCAACATGGTTAATTAAGTTATTAGGCCCGAAGAGATTTGATCGATAAAAATCGATATCGAAATCTAGCGATATCGATTTTTATCGATTGCTTGCAAACGAGACAAGAAATCGATTATCGGAAAGAAGTCTCTGGCTCTTATGGGATCTGATATCGAGGCGTTCATGCAGATGTCTGTTACATAAACTTGCACAAATACATTATACTCATTTCAGGGTATAAAAATAAACCTTCTTGGTTTTCAAAATGACCTAGTAGCTTTAAATCTTATTGGATTTTGGCGTAAACTAGCCTTCACTGCACTATTATTTCCCGTACTACGATATATGTTTCACCGGGATGTCAAATGCTTTAAGGAACTTCCATGTCCTTGCACCTTAACTTTCAGACTCACCACATATGCATTAAAATCAATTAAGGCCTGTCCATGATTGTAGGCATATGCGCCAGAGCACAAAACACAGAACAGAAACAGCTTAAACATCGTCGAAATGTATCAGACACTAGTTAAGAATTGAACATTAGCCGTACCTTTATATAGTCGCACCCATCCATGCACTTTCTTTATGATTAGACAAGCAAATAATAGATAAACGACCCACCATTCCGCAAGAAATGTGCAAATAGATTTCTACATATGCGGCATTAGATTCATGTATTCTTGGCGGCTCACAAATGCTTAATTCGCACTTGCCTAATTATGGTGTATATATATTTTACTGTTGTTGTCTATATGGTTGGGGTCTGTCGATTTGGCTAGTTAACTGGGCGTGGCCTGTTTACACGCCCCACTGCGCTGTTGGGGCTCTCATATCTCTGTTAATTTGTAATTTCTACTGGCCTAGTTCAATCTAACGTTGTGCTCAATTCTTCAAAACTCTGCATTGGCATTTCCCGGCAATTGTTGGCACATTGTCAAGATCATAAATGTTGTAAAACTTGACAATTAACCCGACAGATAAGCTATGCATCTACACGAACCAAGCAAATTAACGTGCCTTACAAATTTTTGTGATTCAAAAGCTGAAAAGAAAATGAAATTAATTATTATACATTTTTGTTTGGTAAATGTTCCCCTCGAAATCCCACTGCCGGAATTTGAGCATTGTATTCTTAGGGCGCATCCGTTTTCGGGGGCATTTTGGTTTCTCCCAGAAATGAGTTCGATACACAAATTGTGATTCATCTTCCAATATTCAATTTTAATATTAGCACTTTTTCATGTACTTCCCTTCCAATTTATAGATATAAATAAAATGTCTAAATTTTAAGACATCATTGAAATTGAACAACATTTAATTTAAAATGTTTACCAGCGAGGTTGATTTGATTTGGATCAGTGTATTTTTATTGTACATTTATTAATGCTAAATATTGTTATAAATAAATAAATGTTAAATACTTTGAAGATTTCGTTTGTCCACATTGTCAATTAAGCTACTATGTCTATACGATTACTCATCCACAGACTTTTAAGAACACGGAAACAAATTTTGATGTTCATTGTTTATAAGCTGAAACATTAAAAGTGGAAAAGAAGGTTGATTGATTTTTTGCAAACGTATGTAACAGCCTGAAGCAGACTTCTCCGGCTTATTAAGCGTACATACAACAATTAATATATTGTATATTCTTGTCTAGCATCAAAAGTTATCAATCTCATATAAGAGCTAGAAATTATCGATGGGTTACTCCAGTTATATGAAATCGATAGAAGTCGATATCGAAATCCTGTTTTCTTTTAACATAACTCGGGACTTATAAGAGCCCCTCTCTCTCTCTCTCTCTCTCTCTCTCTCTCTCTCTCTCTTCTAGTTATTTTATAGTTCACACATTTCAAAAACATTTTCCTTGTTAATACCTCCCCGTGTCCTTCACTAAATTGTAAGAAACTTTGGTAACCACAGATACTAATCTATTTTTCTCTCTGTTTAGCTTAATAAAAAAAAAATATTCGTCCAATAAATTTTGTTTTCCCCTCAAACTTTCCCATTTCCTGAGTTGAGCCCAGATAACATTGAATACCTTGATTATGCATACCTTCATCAGTCTTACATCGTTGCATTGAAGTGCAGTTTGCATTCGTTCGTAAATCATCAAAACTGGTTGCATAAGTTAGCATGTATTCAGGCTATTAACAAGAAATGAGTCAATTAACAAATTTATGTGGTAATGCCCTAACGATAGGTATTAAAACTTTAAAGCCGAATATGAAACATATTGTTCCAGAGCTTTCCGAAGCCATGAGTGCATATATTATTGATCAGGTTGAAAAGCTTGGGGTTGACTGCCCATCAGTCAGTCAATCAATCATACAACATCGTTTTACAGACCGAAAGCGTCTTCTATCTCATTATCTAATTTTTAAGCCAACTCTTATTGTAATTTATCGATTATTCTTCATATACAAATAATAAATATACAAATAATAAATATGCCGAAAATTAGTTTTTCTGTTTTCTGTTTCATTATTTAAGCTTCAGCCGTGTCGTTATATGAAATAATTTAGGTACGTAATGGGTAGGTGAGGGTATTGAGTCGTCGGCACTTGGCGACGAGCTGTTCTAAATTGTGATAATTTATTTAAAATAAAGTATTAAAGCAAAGAATGTCAATGTTAAGCGTTAACAAAATGGTTTATAATGACTTCAAGATGCACTGCCTGTGAATGCTAGGCGTTAAAATTTTAATTTATTTAGCACTATAATTTAAATATTTTATTCATTTAATATATGCAATTTAAAATAGATAGAAATAGCTATAGACTAGTTAGTTAATTTATATTGCGTAAACCATTTAACAGTCAATATACTCTATGAAAAACTGTGATCTATTGACAATAAATTTGAATTTAAGGCGAATCGGAAAAATGGTAAGAAATTTGAAGATGAGCACATTTTCAAAGTTTGGAGCAGGTTTTTTATTTGTCTTTGGGCCAGAGCCTATAAAACCGAAGCGACTGTCGCCAGCGCGACTTAAAACGTTCGCAGTCTCCGAGACAACGGCATCTTAACAAGATCTCCAAACGAAAAGAGGTCCAAGCCGAAAGCCAGAAATATAAAAAAATTTACAAAAAAAGTTACAAAAGGTGATTAATGTGCATCTATTTATTTATTGACCAAGCGTGTGTGTGTGTGTGCAATCTGCGTTAATAATAGTTATGAAAATAACGAGCGTGTCGGCATTTCCGAAAGACCCCCCGTTCTCAGCTCTGACTAAGCGCCTTTCACCCGCATCAAAATCCGATTAACCCGCAAATGTGTATAAGTCCGATTATTTGGAATATTATTTGAAGTGAAATTCGTACAAGAAATGATTTACTTGCCAAGGGCAGAAATTTCACAAAAAGAAAGAAACTAATACATAAATAAACATATCACATGCGGGCTCATATGCAAATGAGATGAATATTATAATTTTAAAATATATAAATCGAAATACATCAATTGGTTGTCGCAGTTTAAATTTAATGACAATCATTAAAAACTAATTTAATCAAAAAAAGCACGATGATAAAATCAAATGGCCCGAACGGCCAAAAGAGAAATACACTCACGATCAAGCCGAACTGTCTATTACCCTCTAAGAAAATTCCTCTACAATAAATCAGATAGCAAGTGTTAAAATGTTTATCTCTCTGATTGCCTATTATAAAAACTGAAGAAATGTTATTCTTGGAAAACAATCAACTGTGCATTCAGAATATATTCCCTATGGAAATTTCGAGGGTTGTAAACCTGATGACTTAATGCAAAGTACCGCGTCGCTAGGGCAATCCAAGATATATGTGACTGTGATGATTGGTACACCTGCTGTGACTGTTATTTAACCATTTTCACTCTTACATCATCTTCCACTCGACACGACATTTCGCTGTTTAGATGTGGATGTGCAAATCGGAGATGTTGCAGCTGCTGCTGCTGTTGGCCTGGTTAAATGCTGTGTCATTGCAGAAGCTGCAGTCATTCCCAAGGCTCTGCAATGTGCGCGACTTTGATGACTTTCTGCGGCAGACGGGCAAGGTGTATCCGGACGAAAGGGAGCGTGAGTTCCGTGAGAGCATCTTCGCGGCGAAGAAGTCTTTGGTGGATCTATCCAACAGCCGTGTGAGCAGCTATCGCCTCAATATTAACACACTCGCCGATATGACACGCAAGGAGGTTGCCACGCTGCTCGGTTCCAAGATCTCAACTCAGGGCGAGTAAGTACTTTGTGAATATATAAATATATAATAAGAAATTTTAAAATGTTGTAATTATGCTGACAAGTATATACATCTGATTTGTACTTAATGCTCAATCCAAACTCCAAGACGAACACTTTTCACACACACGAGTGAAAGATGGGTGAAAATCCATGATGTTTTATACATTTTATTTTGACATTTTATTTTGAAGTATAAGTATATATAAGATCTTTATGTAAGATCTGTAAATGGCATATATGTAAAAATGTAGCTCGGAAGATTTTTTACTAATTTCGATAAATCCACCACAATAAGTGAGAAATAAATATCTAAGTTTTCAGGAGAATAAGAGAGAGCCACATTTATAACTTATTGTTCTTTCCCCCCTTGTTCAGAGAACTGACCGCACGCCACATCAACTTTGTGCCCGCCACAACCGCGTTAAGTGACAATCTGCCGGAATCGTTTGATTGGCGTGAAAAGGGAGGCGTCACACCAGCTGGCTTTCAGGGAGTTGGCTGCGGCTCGTGCTGGTCATTCGCGACAACTGGCGCTCTGGAGGGGCATCTGTTTCGGCGCACTGGTGTGCTGGTGCCGCTGTCACAGCAAAACTTGATGGACTGTGCCGATGACTATGGCAACATGGGCTGTGATGGCGGCTTTCAGGAGTACGGCTTTGAGTATATACGGGATCATGGCATTACGCTGGCGAACAAGTATCCCTACGAGCAGGTGGAGATGGAATGCAGGCAGAATGAAACGGCCGGCAGGTATCCACGCGAGAGCATTGTCAAGATACGCGACTATGCGCGCATCGATCCGGGGGATGAGCAGAAGATGAAGCAAGTGATTGCCACGCTGGGCCCCTTGGCCTGCTCAATGAATGCCGGTGCCATATCCTTTGAACAGTACGATGGCGGCATATACGAGGACGAGGAGTGCAATCAGGATGAAGTCAATCATTCGGTCGTTGTCGTTGGCTACGGCACCGAAAACGGACGTGACTATTGGATCATCAAGAACTCATACTCACAAAACTGGGGCGAGGCTGGCTTCATGCGACTCCCACGCAATGCTGGCAGCTTCTGTGGCATTGCCAGCGAATGCAGCTATCCTATACTGTGAGCACGTGCCAGCCGTGCCTTAGTCTGTATCTTTAAGTATTTGTTAATACCATGTATACGAATTTATTTTGTTACCATAGTTTGTAGAAGGAATAAGAAATGTTTTTGTAGAAATAAAAAAAAAACTATTTTATTTGAAATTTTGTGTTAGGAAGAAGACATTAAAAAACTCCAATCGGTTTCTATTGTGAATTTAAATTAGCCCAGTTGAACGCAAATTTCATACAAATCGGAGCATTCGTTTAAGAGGAATTCGAGTGCAAGAAAACGTACAGAATTATATATATACAAATACGATTAAAATGCAAATAATAACCAATTGAGAATTTATATAAAAACTCAATGAATATGCACTCAAAAATATATAGTAGGTTATCAGTTGACGAGTTTATAGTTCATTTCATATGTCGCATGGACAAAACAAAAAGCTTCTAATAATATGTGAAAGAACTAATTGAAAGTCAGATCGCATAACATTTGCATTTGCTCTTTACGCAGCGTCTATAAAAAGGGGTCTCACATGCGAACCACACTTAGTAAGTGGGAATACTTCGAGATTGTAGGATGAATTCGCTTCTGATTTTTTTCGGCATTTGCGGGCTTTGCATGTGCCTGGCTGCTGGGGCCGGAGCCGCACCCACAACAACCGACATAATCGTGAAAGCGGAAATGGAAGAATCAACGACGCCAGTGCCAACGGCGACTCTTCAGGACTCCTCAGATAACAAATGCGATACTGAATGGACTGAGTATAAGGTACAAATAATATTCATTAATTTCAGCATTTATAGTGAAAACAATTTAGTGAGAGCAATCCAAAATCATAAATATCAATTTAATTTCATTTGTTAAACAAATAGCAAAAGTACCAAAAGGACTATCAGAGCAGCGGCGATGAGGAGAAGCGTCAGAAGATATTCTGCCAGAATCTGAGCGAAATCGAGAAACACAACGCCGCCTACGATTTGGGTCAGGAGACCTACAAGAAGGGCGTTAACGAGTTCAGCGATTTAACCCAGGACGAATGGCAGAAAACTTATCTCAATATGAATTAAAAGCAATTCCCGCTTTTTAAAATGCTTGAAAACTTACTTTGTCTTAAAACTTCTTATAAATGCAAAAAAATTATAAATATTTCTTAAATTCGAATAAAGTATTTAAAATATTTACGCACTTTAAAAATGTAATCAGTTTTATGCCTTTTTGACAGTGAGATACGCGCAAATAATGGATATACATAATTCATATCAGAGAAAAATTGAGAATATAAGTTTTAGATAAAATTAGCATAAAATAATAATAAAGCAAATGCATTATTTTAAAGATTGATATCGTGGTACAGCAATAACAGCTCTCAACCCATAAAGCCACGTAAGTGTCAAGCAAACCTGGGGAATACTTATCGCTGTTACGCGATATATATGTATATTTATATAGAGCTAAGCTCATAAATAATTCAGTTCACGTTGTATGCATGCTCCAGACGCATTTGCTTTTGTGACTAATAATTTGCAGGCGTTGTATTGGTTTTTAAAAATATGTGTCATAATTTATTGACTGTTTGTTTTTTATTTTTAGCTGGGAATGGTTTTATTAAATTATTGTTCACTGATTTTCAAACAAGTACATTTAAAATTTAGCTTCAATTTGTACCGATTATGTTTAAATATTTTTATTTCATTCAGGAGCTCTACATGAATAGTTTATAAATTTACCGCAAATTTGTGTGTTGTTTGGTTTGGCTTTAGATAGAGGTTTTTTGATGAACGGTTTTTTCATTTATTTTAAATGTAGTATTTAATTACTTTTGCTTAGCCTTTTGCACATACAACATAGTACATATACATACAGCTGGCTTAGACAATTTACATATACAATACATAAATATATAATATATATATTTTTTTTAACAAATTCTCTCATAGTTTACCATTATTTGATGTTGCACTAAACAAACATTTATGTTTAATTATTTAAATATGTTTACATTCATTGATATTGGTTAATTTTCAATTGTATAGTACGAATAGTTTATTTTATAATACTATACAATTCTTATGTGGGTCAATGTGGGTTATGTGGGTTCCCATGGGGTCTTGCTAAAAGTCTAAATTATTTTTGCCAATTATTCATTTTTTGCGATATAAATAAATGAGTATTTTGAATGTGAGGTTGGTTAATTTAACAACATCGTTATCGAACTTTACTTTCAGAGCTATTCCCCAGATATTTCGTATGGCATACCTCCAGTTGTTTTTTTTAACTAAGCTTCATACATTTCTGTGGAACTGATTCGAAAGCGAAATTCAGCAAATTGTTGTTGACTCTAATACCAATTAATATTAATACTAAATAGTGTATGAATTGTGTTTGAATACTGAGGTTCGAGAGCTTGGGTTCTTGAAGAAGTGAGACTTGGGCTGGTTAGAGCTCACCTTTCAGACTAATATCTTATGCAAATTATAATTTGCTCAAGTCAAACGCTTTTGTAAGATTTCTCATTAATTTCAACCCATTTGCTCATATCTTGGGAGCATTTTTGAGTTTAACAATAATTAGCTGTAATTCAATTTTAGAATTTTTACATTTTGGCGTTGTGTTTTATTGTTTCCATACATATATATATATATGCGCTAAATTCAAGCGACCCTGGCCATAGCTCCTGCAGCTGTCGGGCATTAGAAAGAAATATTTTGTATGAGCAAGCAGAAGTAGGAATTATTAGGTGTAAAATGCTTGTGTGTCTTTTGGTTGGTTGTAAAATGGATATGTTTTGAGCAGTTTTTGTGATGTCTGCCAGTTAACTAGTGTGGATCGATTACTATATAATTTTTGCTGTTGGCGTGTGTAAATTTGTCTAAAAAACATTTTTGTATTTTTTTGTATTTCTCTTTTCATTATTTGCTGCTGTCAGGGCAAATCCAGAGCTGAGCATAGAGGGCCAGGGCCTTGCACAAGAAAATTTAATACAATATACTAAACAACTAACAACGTTTAAAGCATAAGTATATATATATATATATATATATATATATATATATATATATATATATATATATATATACAAATATATAGTATTTAGTTTATAATGTGTATATATCATACTCGTACATATTGCAACAAATTTTCACTACAAAAACTGCACACATAACTTAGGGGGCTAGCTTATAAATTATTATCATTAATATTATACTGTATAAGGATAGGGCTTTCATCTGAGCAGATCGGCTTGCTGCTTACTGTATTCCTTGCTGAAGCAAATGCATGGCATTGTTGTTGTAGTTGTGGTTGTAGTTGTTGTTGTTCGTATATGCTTGACATCGGTGTATTAGGTTAAGCCAACTTGTGCACTATAGTTGCAGTTGGTGTAAAAATTGTATTTGCCATTTGCACTACCAAAAAATGTGTGTGTCGACAACGGAGGAGTGGCACAACTTGCTAAGAGATACGCTTAGTAGGTGGGTTGCTGATACTCCATGCCCGACTGTTGTTCGATGCCTGCAAAAAATATGCAAAATAATATATACACACAATCTATATCGACTGGCATATGAGCGAACTAACCCTGCTGTGGCTGACCAAATGGCGAGGCACTGTACTGCTCATTGTCGTTGTCCATGGAGTAGCTATATGCCTGCTGGTGCACCACGTTGGCCGGATCAGTCTCAAAGGCCGAGGTGAACTCGTCGCCGGCGCCAATCAGGAAACGTTTATAGGCCATAAAGGCGCACAGAGCCTGCAAATAAACTTGGTTAAGTCCACAAAAATAACCAACTGAGCTTGCGACTCACCCAGCTGAAGATGCTAAAAAAGCAGAATACAATGGCCGTCTTCATGCTGCCGGCGCCAATTCCCTGCGGGGGCATGGGTGCCGAGCTCCACTGGGACCACAAATAGAAGAACGCGATAAAGTACATAAATGCCCAGGCAGCTGCAATTGCAAGCATTAGCAGAAGATAACCAAAGCAATTAAGTTTAATCCGTACGTACCCGAGAATCCCATGTCGCCCATGACGTAACGCTTTCTGCTCTTCACCGAGGACATGCGCTCGAACATGAACTCGCCGCCAATGAAGTACATGGAGGCGAGAAAGCCAAAAATGCCAACGGTATTGCCATATTTACAGGCCATGCCATCGTTATTATATAGACACATCTCCTTGCCATCCTTTTCGACCCAGCCCTCGGAGGATATGCAGCCGAAGACCACAATGGAAAAGAGCTGGGAAAATGTTCAAAATCAAATTACTTTTTGCTGAAACAATGGAAAAACAACCTTTATAAAATCCCAAAGTGTAACCCGATCCGATAGGGCAGACACGCACACCCCGTCCCCGCTTAGCGTCCAGTCAAATAAATGTATTGATTTTAAAGAGCAGGTGCAACAAACCAGAAGTTCAAGTACACACACAAACACACGCACTCACACACAGATAAACAGACACCAATACAGGCGCGCATTTAGGTTTGTGACCCAATTTGAAGCGAAGGCCAAGTTTAGTGAGCAAAAGAAGCGCCTGGGGATAGGCAATGCCAACTGCAATAACAAAGCTGGTCCTTGACCAAGCTTGGCAAGCTCTCAGTTGTTGTCGCTGTGCAAATAATACGTATATTTAGTATATATATAGTATATATGGTTAAGTATATGTCGTCAGCTCAGAATGCCATTAAACGTAAATGAAAGCGAGCTCTTATTCGAAATGACGGCTAAACCCATTTCTCTCACTTGCCTTTTAGCTGTGTCGCACATGCTGGCCATTAAAATGGCTTTATTTAGTGGCCATTGCAATGGCTTATATTTTATGGACTTTATTTCAAATTTTCATAGACGTGCGACTTTTAATGGCGCCTGCACAGCTGTGTCTTCGACTTGGCCCAGTTGTCAACCATGCTCTAATTCCTGAGTCATCCCCAAGTAACGTTTACTCTCTACCGAGCTGCATAAACAAATCACGATACAGTCATTAACACCAACAACAAATCCACGATATTCCCACGACGTTTCATTTTTACTAATTAAAACTTATAAATAGTATAACAACTTTTCGAGTTATTGCAATTAAGGTAAATATGAAATAATCTTATAGTCTTATTAGAAAGTCTTAGTCTTATTAGAAATGCAAATAATAGTTATAGAAATAATAACAGTAAAACTAATAATCCAATTTTATCTGCTCGAGAGGAATCTTAAAAACAAAATGGCTTCCTTGTTAAAATTCCGCAGTTCTAATTGGAAATAAAAATGCTATTCGTTTCGGAATGCCCAGCATCGTTAACCCGTAATTTAATAGAAACTCCTGCGTCAACGACAACGTAATGTTGAAATGTCCTTTGTGTGAGGCCATCAGTCACCAAGTTTAAGATAGGGTGGCCCCTTTGTTTAACTTACCCAGCATAGGGCGCGTATGACAACTTGAGGTTTCATGGCAAACGTCAACGGATCGAAGGCGCCGCCCGCCTTGCCCCCGCCATAGGCGCCACCAGCATTAATGTTGAGTATTTGATTAAGCACATCCATTATTAACGCCTACCACTTGCTTGCTCTATATATATATATATATATATACGTTTTTTTATTGTATATTTCTCTGTGTATATTTATATTTTTTTCTATAACGCGTGCGAGCTGCGCAAACTTTAGTCAGTCGTGTGTGTGTGTGTGTGGGTATTTTTTTGCGTTTCTCACGTCTTGTTGTGAAAAATCGAATGCTTCTCACTATGCCAGCTCAAGGGCAAAGCGGGGGCGTCTTGTACGTTACGTTTGGTAGTATGTGTGCGGCTGTCCGTACATGTATACACTGGCAAGCTCTATATGTGTGTGTGTGCTATGCTGTAGTATATCACAATTATAGATTACAGCACACCAGAAATAGCAAAGCTCAAAAGGTTTGGTTGTGCTCACGAATTCCTGTGGCACACTCGCACGCGTCAAACTACAGAAGTCGCAAACGTTATTCAAAACAAACAAGGGACACGCGCACAATTTATCTGTTATTAATTATGCATAATTAATAAATATTCCACAAAATTTCAAGGGCCTGATTTTCACTTTTACTTTTCTCACACAACGGCCAACGCGCAGGACTAACAGTAAAGTGTATGTAACGTCCTGTACTCGCTCTCAGTGAGTCATTGTGTGCGTGTGCATGTGTGTGTGTCAGGCTGCTAAGCGATAATATTGTTTGTACAATCGATAACTATTTAACTATCGCTACGAAGCTGGGATTAATGTATAAAACATTTCTCGAAAACGTCCAACATAGTTTAAATAAAATATTCAAAAGTTGCCACCCTGCTGAATTGCGTAAACCTTTTACAACACTACCGATAGTATCGTATTCGTATGCAATTTGGCGCCAACTGAGTTGCCCATAAGTTTTCTCTCTTCTAATAAATATACTAAAAAAAATTATATGTGTATTCAAAATATAAAGTAGTGAAGCGTTAATGCGTTGCCCTTTGTTATGCAAACAAAAAAAGGAAATAAATGGAAAGTGGTGCTTGCCGTGTGGTTACGAGAGACATCAACAACGAAATTGGTTAGGCAGCTTTGTGTTCAATTGCTTGGAGTCTGTGCCGTTGCATCCGAATACAACCCCTTACTACCAAAAGTATGCGCCGAACTTTAGAAACAATCCAAGAGCTACTAGGCCAAGTTGGTTGCAGGAGCCAGAACAGGCGAGACCTCAAAGGGTCAACAAGCTACCGACCAAATTAGAGCCGGAACCTGAGGTTTTTAAACAGAAATCCACACAAACAGAACCAGAAACAAATCGGACAGATAAATATGAGCATAAAAAGAAGGAATTCCTTCGAGAATACCATCTTATCCAGCCGTTCTTAAAGCAAAAGAATAATAAAAATTTGAAAACACCATCAGATGATATTATAACAACCTTTGGAACATATCGAAACAGGGAAGATTACCAGAAAAAGAAGCCGATTCACAAAAACTCTCAGCGACATTTACGAGAAAAACATGAGTCAGAGCTTGCTACAAATCAAGTTATTACAGATAGGTATACTTTGAGCACAGACAAAAAAAAGAAACAAATGGTTCAAGAGCGGAATCTCATATTGCAATTCTGTCCCCAGAAAAATGCAAAGAATATACAATCTAAAGAACAGCCGAAAACCGTAACCACAAAATTTGGCACATACTCTCAAGGAAGTATCGAACCACAACCCAAGTTCACAAAAAAATTCGCAAAGATGTTACAAGGTACCAAGGTGCCTGAATTCAACACCTTATTAAAGAGCAGACATGGTTTGCGAGCGGATACAAAACAGGAGGCACCTGCGCTGCATCGAAGCAATAGATTCAATCAGTACGCCATGGTACCTGACTCACCTGTGACACAAAAGAAAAAAATTAATGCAGCACCGAGGGATACTGAAGCACTAAAGCAAGCCCCCTTAAAGGCCGAACCAAAGCAGGCCCCATTAAGGGCCGAACCAAAGCAGGCCCCATTAAAGACCGAACCAAAGCAGGCCCCATTAAAGACCGAAGCAAAGCAGGCCCCATTAAAGACCGAAGACCAACCCGCTTATACTAAAACTTTTGAGAAGATGTTGCAGGATGTTAATCCGGAAATGCCTGAACAGCATCGATTACTAAGAAGTCAACACTTTTTGGCCATCAAGGGAAGAGACAGGAAAAAGCGAAGTGCCTCAGACGTGGTCGGTATCCAACCCAAGTTTACTGCAACCTTTGATATTATGTTGAAAGATACGAATGCCAACGAGCCGGAAGAATATAAATTAATAAAGAGCAGATACGCTATAAAACGAAAAGCGAATGTAAAAAAGAAGTTAATTGACAATGGGGAAAGAAAACGAGCGTCTGTAGGCAGTTCCTTAACAAGGAGTGGAAACAGTATAATCAGGAAAATTAAATACAGGCCATCTCGCAGGGGCAAAATAGAGTATCCTAAAGGATCTTTAGACTCCTTCGATGTGTGGAATTTGAAATATACATCTCAAACTAAGTCGCGTATTCCGGAGAAATTGTTCTACCATAAAGAAACTATTCCGCGTAGCTCATCTGCGATGAGCAGTCATTCATCCTCAAAATCGTTGGCAAATGAGGAGCAGGAAGTGACAAGTCCTTCGCCATCGGTAGGGTATATACTTCCCGCACAAAATTCATTTAAGCTTTCACTTTATGAACCAATTCGTTACCCTCAACATGGCGAAGCTCAGCGTAAAAGAGTTAGCATGAAAAGATACTCAAGCCGAGTAAGGAAAATTTATAATATTAGATTAAGCTCAAGTAAGACGCCAAGCTCTCTCCGTAGTCGAAAAATTGACAGCCTGGTCGGCTTGGCATCTAGCAATGTAGAGGCCGAAATTGATTCAACCGATCAGCCAAATGACCAAAAAAGATTTAAGACAACCAGTTCATATTCGTTTTATGACTTTCAATCGAGCATAGATATTAATTCAAGTAAATCAGGTCAGTGGCTATCGGAGAAGCGTGCCCAGCTGGCGGCACAAATAGCCGAGTTAATGAAACACGTAGAAATTCGGGAGGATGTTCCGCTCAGAAAAAAACGCGAACGCAATTTTGTGCGAGAGGCCCAGACGCAGTTGTGGAAGACAAAACCACCGAGATATGAGAAAATCGCTAAGAAAAAAAGAAGCAAATTTCCCACCAAATTGGAGAAGCTACGAATCCCTAGCGATTCTAAAACAGGTTCCCTGAAACCATTGGTAATTCGACGCTATCGTAGGAAACCAGAGCTACAGCCTACCAAACATCGTACGGAATGTACTTGTGCTACCTGTAATACCTGCAAAATGTTTAAGTTAGGAAAGATGGAAGCCGATACGCCACTCATAAGAGAAATGAAGGCCAAGGGGCGGCGAATGCAACTACAGAACTACTATCGACTTTTATTAAAGCGTGAAGCATGGAAATGCAAAAGGCTGGCTCAATCTGTCTATCGAAGCGGAAAGGAGCAGCCCTGTAATATTATCAGTTCCTGCACATGCAGATGACGACGGCAAGATTGGTTGTCAGTTGATCTATGACCACATTTGGTCAAAGATCAACCGACAACCAATTGAGCTCCTTAAAGGAGTTGTCGTACATCTGCTCCTAGGAACTTGTGGATAAGATCGTACAGCTGGCATTTTGACATTCATATTTCATGTGTACAAACGTGTTTTTTTAACTGTTTCATAATTTTAACATAGATTTATAAGCAAAAAGAATGAATATATAATCTATGTGACAAATTACAGATTATTCAACGTATTTTAATTGCGTATTAACAACGGGGTTTGATTTTATAAATGCATTGCTGGCTTTCAATTTGATTATTCTTGATTATTCTGATCTACTCGCTGGTGAACTTGGCCGGGCGCTTCTCCACAAAGGCCTGCATGCCCTCTTTGCGATCAGCCTGCGAAGAGAAAACAAAATTAGAAATATAATAAGTATTACGTAATCAATCAGCTCACCGTCGAGAATGTGGCATGGAAGGTGCGGCGCTCAAACTTGAGACCCTCCTGCAGAGTTGTCTCATATGCGGTGTTGACAGCCTCCTTGCACAGCTGCACAATCAAATTAGAGTGGGTGCCAATTTTCTCGCCCAGTTTGATCGCCTCGCCCAGCAGTTGATCGGCTGGAATGACCTTGCTGACCAGGCCAACCTTCTCCGCCTCCTGGGCATTGATCATGTTGCCAGTCAGACACATTTCCATGGCCTTGGACTTGCCGACCACACGTGTCAAGCGCTGAGTGCCGCCAGCACCGGGAATGGTGCCTAGCGCAATTTCTGGCTGGCCGAACTTGGCCTTCTCGCCTGCATAGATAATGTCGCACATCATTGCCAACTCACAGCCGCCGCCGAGAGCATAACCATTGACCGCAGCAATGATGGGCTTCTGGGTGCGAGCCACCTCTGTCCAGTCGTTAAGGAAGTTGCCCTGAATGCACTGGGAGTATGTGTTGGGTGCCATCTCCTTGATGTCTGCGCCAGCGGCAAAAGCCTTCTCGCTGCCAGTCAGCACAATGGCGGCGATATTCGCGTCCTTGCCAAAGCCCTTCAGAGCGGTGGACAGCTCCTGCATCAGGCCATTGCACAGCGCATTCAACGCCTTGGGACGGTTCAATGTGATAACAGCCACATTTTTCTTCTCTCCAGTCACTTCGGTTTTAATGAATTCATAGTTGCTGGCTGTTGCAGAGGGAAAGAGATGGCAAACGAATTGATATCACGAAACTTACGTAATCATTGTTATTTTTTTTTTCGTGCTTGCACACAACTAATGGGCAATAAAATAAATAGTTGTGCCACAGTTTTTATGGATTTATATTAATTAACGTGTTCTGTTCGAGTGGACTTTGTTCTTTATCTGCATTGGTGTTATGTGTGTGTGTGTGTGTGTGTGTGTGTGTGTGTGTGTGTGTGTGTGTGTGTGTGTGTGAGTACTTACAGGTGCTGCTGAAACGGGCGGCCACTTGTGGCTGACGGGCGGCAGCCTGGACCAAGGTTTGTGCACGCACGGTAAAGAGTTTTGCAATGTTGGCCATTCTAACACCTATTTTGAAAACGAAAAGTGTTATCCTCTGATTAAGGTAAGGAGATATTGCGTGACGCTTGTTACTTACGATCAGAACGCTGGAGCGGGAATGTCTAGTCTCTAGATGATCGATCGCACGATGCTTGGAGCCGGTTGGAAAATGGTGATGAGCCAATGTTATGGCACGAATAATCGAAATTCGTTCCAGTCCACGCACGTATGCAATATGAACGTCGTAATTGTCCATAATAAACGAAAAATATATCTTGCAGCTAATTCAAAATATAGATAAATCAAATAAAGTAAATCAGAACAATTACTTAATTTCAAATGTGATAGAGAAAACAAATAAAATGACTCAACTTTTACCTGTGTCACACTATATAGCTAATACTTTGTTTATAAAAATGTATGTTTTTAAACCAATTACATTCATTTACAGTTTTAAACTGTTTTTTAAAAGATATAAATATAAATGGTTTGTTTATTGTTTTTATTTTACATATCAATTAAACATTTCTCGCTTGCTAAACTAACTATCGATATATTTGATTAGCCGATACTTACGACAACTTTCTTAAAATCGATTGTCTTTGCTTGCAATACAG